GGAAATCCTAGCCTGACTTTTCTGGCCATGGAAAAAGGTTGATTCTAAACGCTGACCTGATGGTTTCAGTCCGTGACATCTGAAATTCAGTTCATCTTTTATACATTATTAACAACAAAATGGGGGAAAACTGAGTTGGCTTTCAGGGGAAATGGAAAAAAACAAGATCACATCTGTACTCTACTAAGTCCTCTGTAGATGTCAGGCTGGGGTGATAAATTGTCAGGCACTAAATCAGGGCATTAACGTTTCACTTAAACTGAAGCTAGATCCAAATAGCTGATGGCCTGCTTTCTAGATCTCTTATGTACCTGCTTCTTAAATCCAGTCAGTTTTCAAAAAATTGCCCTTTAAGGTTGTGGCCAGGGGAATAAGGCTGAGAACAGAATGAACCATTATAGAAGAACTTAGGTATGTGGAAGCAGAGACTCATTAAAATCTAAATCCTCTGAAGCTGAAGTTTGATCCAACAGCAAGGCATTAATTATTTTAGTGATTGTACCTTAGTTGTTTCCCAGAAGGTGATAAATTTGGGATCAGTTCCTTCTTACTGTGTGTTCTGATGGTCTTTAAAGTGAACCAAAGCTCTAAATTGCAATGCCACTGATAATTAAACTCTGATAGCTATGTTTTGTTTGTCTGTATGCCCGGCTTCTCGTTTTCTGTGAAACTCTTTGTGTTCTTTTGGGTAATTTTCCCCTAGAAGACACTTACAAATTACTTCCGATTTTGATGCATCTTAAAATACGAAGTCTCTTGTGAAGCTCTTTGGTTCTTTTCTCCTTTGCTCCTGAAATAAATTCAGGTTGGTGGTTTTCTTCAAGGATATGTGGTATGGTCAAAACATTGCAAACCCAAGTTTTTAATTTTTCCTATAGAGTCCCCATTTTTTTTCCTTTCTTTCCCCAATTTTTTTTACTGTGGTAAAATGAGATTGTCCTTTTCTGTAAACATCTTTTGTCTCCTGCATATCTCTGCCATGACTGTAAAGAAGTGGAAAGTATTTCTAGATTTGTTGAAATGAAGTAAAGTTCTGTCAAAATGAGATGGACACTAAATAACTGATCAGGCAGGTTTTGATCCTGCAATTTTGTCCCTTCGTTGTGCAAGTTACCCGAAACCTGAATTCAGCCCTTGTGTGTCTCTGTGAGAGGCATATCGCATGGCTGCATTTGTAGGGTATCTGCCCTCTCTGTGCCTGTTCTTCCCTTTTGAGTCTCTAGACCTGAGTTGCCAAGGGGCACTGTGAGCTGAGCCTGGACGTCATCTAACTGCAGGACCCAAGCTGAGGATGGAAATCTTGCTGTTGATAGTCCTTCGGCTGCCAGACTTTGCCTTCACCCTCCTCTTCCATCTCACTGCCCCCTCTGTATCCAGAACCTCGGCTCTCCACACACCTGCTTCGTTCTTCTTTCCCTGCGGAAGGTTCCTTTGCTTCTTGACTTACGAACTTTACTTCTTACCCCTTTCAGATATTGAAACTGGCAACTTTCAGTCATTGTATCAAAGTCTCAGCGATTTTCACTGGCTCAGACGCCATCCATCTCTGGTCCAAGGACAGCATCACATAGAACAAAGACATCTTCATGGACCACTGTGTTTGGGGAAAAATAGTTCTCAGATGAAGGTTATAGGGAGTTGGGCAGACATCCCCAAAATATCTCCCCCAAACAGTAGCCATTGGTGGTGGCAGTGATTAATTTGTTCATTCATTTAACAAATATTTATTAAGCACAGACTCTATGCTGGAGTCTCTGTTCTAGGTTCTGGGGATGTAGTAGAGAACAAGTCATAGTCTTTATCCTTGTGGAGTCAATTGGGAGAGACAGACAGTAAACAAAGAAGCAGGTAAGTATTCATTATGTGAGATGGTGATAAGTGTTGTGAAGAAAATAAAGTAGGGGAAGATAAAAAGGGTGTGCTGATGGGGGCATCACCATTTTACATAGAGCTCTCTGACAGAGTGGCATTTGAGTGGAGACCTGATGGAAATAACGGAGCAAGGCATGCAGATAACCTCAGGAAGAACATTCCAGGCAAAGGGAACAGCAAGTGCAAAGGCCCTGAAGTGGGAATGTGCTTAATGCACGTGGTGCACAATCAGCGGACAGGCCAGTACTATCAGAGAAGGGTGAGCAAGAGGGAAATGTAGGTGGAGCCATAACGGAGGGGTCAGATCCCATGGGGCACTGTGGTCAGGGTAAAGCTGTTGGCTTTTACTTGGAGTAAGATGGAAAATCTAAGGAGAGTTTTGAGCACAGGAGTGAGGTGATCACTCAGGTTGCCACATGGAGGACAGTCTGTAAGGGGAAGGACAGAAGCAGCGAGATGGGCAGGGAGGCAAATTGCAATAATTTGAACAGAGAAATAATGTTGGCTTTGACCAGGGCAGCAGCAGCGGAGGTGCTTGAGAACTTGAGACTTTTTTGAAGGTAGAATTGTCAGTATTTGAAGGTAGAGTTGACAGATTGTATGGTTAAGACAGAGGTGAGGCAGGATAAGGTGAAAGTTTTTGGCTTGAGCGATTAATTAGTAGGATGGAGTTACGGTTTGCTTAGAGGGGGAAGAATGGAAGGAATGGGTTTGGGGGAGACTCGGAGGGATGAGTTTTGGGGGAAACTGGGAGGGATGGGTTTTGGGGCAAGTGATCAACTTACGTTTTAGACATGTTAAAGTTTGAACTGCCTATTACATACCTAATGGGAATATGATTCTTCAGCTAATTCAATTGTGTTACAGGTGGGATTGTACTAGAATGTTCTTCCTTCCTCACGTCACCTTGCTAACGTCTCTTCACTCTTCAGTTCCCAGCATCAGGGTCATTTGTCATTTTCTCAGGGAAACCTCCTTGATCCCTGTCCCTATGCCTGGATTGATTCTTCCTGTTATATGTGCACATAGCAGCAGATCCTTTCCTTTGTAGAGTTTACCATCCTTGGAATTCGTGAATAATTTGTGTAGTTATTGGTTTAATGTTTGTTTCTTGTCACTGTGAATCCACAGAAGCAGATGGCATTACGAGGTCTGTTGGAATAAAAAGAGGTCTTGTTCAAATGAAACTGTTGGTGAAAAAATAAAGAGACAAACTTTGATCCTGCTGTTTTATGGCTGCTGTGTGCATATTATCTAAAAAAATAGTCCGGGTCAGTCTGTGGGCCTCACAAGGACAGATAGTCCTGTTTTGTTCACTGTAGCCCCAGAATCCAGCAGAGAGCCTGGCACACAGGAGGCACAAAATAAGTATTTGTGTTGTGTTGAATCTGAGCTGTTTTCCGTAGCAAGAGAGAATTGTATTGGCTTCAGACCCTTTGCTTATATTCAATAGGGAACAGCTTTCTGATGCTTAAAAAGTGTGGAGGAACGTTCCAGGCTTTGCTTTGAGATGTTCGTCTTTATTCCCATGCAGTTTTCATTTGGAGCCCCTGTTCGAGGCTTGGTGAATGCACGTATTAGTCTCTGAGACCCCTCCACACACTTGCTTAAAAGGATGTCATTCAGGGTCGCAGTAATGAATTTCAGGCAGATTTTAGTTTTGAACCCTCTGTTTCTGATTAAAAAAAAAACACAGTACACACAGACAAACCTTCCACAACACCTTTTTAACTGGGCTTCTATTTTCTCAGCTCTTTAAAGCTTATTTTCCTTAGTAATTGGATTTTTTTTTTTAAAGCCCAGCCTCCTTCTGTTATACAAGCCTCTCTTCCCTGTCGTGGTCTGAAGCTGTGCTCCGTTTGCACGGGCATCGCAGGCATTTCTCTGAAAGCCACACAGATGTCCTGGATTCCACCAGCAGCTCTGCCAACCGACAGAGGAGCTAGTGCCTTTCTTCAAACCCACAAATTCTACTTGGAGATAGTTAGGTTTTATGGAGACAAGGCTTTAACTGCACCCCAAAGCTGTGTCTCAAAAAATAATTCTTGCTGGTGATCTCTAGTGGAAATCTTCTGCTTGGTGACTAAGCAAAGCCATATTGAACAGCTACCCCAACCGGGGCTCCAGCCTCATGATTAAAAATGCTCCGGGAGGGCAGCCTTGAACTGTCACCAGGCTTTTCCATCCAGGCCTGAGCTCCCGGCTGCTTGATAGAAGGGCTGCTCCCTTCTGGTGGGCAGAGCATCACAGTGGCTAAAGGGTTTTATTCCGCAAGCCCCATTCTGGAGAAATTCCTTTGTTTCCTTTGAACTATTTCTCTTTCAGCCCACTCCATCCACCCCCCCCCCCCCCCCTTGCTTTTGTTCTGTGCCCCTCCAGTGTCAGGTTTTTCTCTTTAGAGTTGTTTTCATTTGCTGGAGATGCTTGACATCTTTACAGAGAACTGAAGAACCGAAGGTGCTTCCAGGTGCTTTCACATCTCTGCTGTACCTTCCCCTTTGCCTTTGAACAACCTTGCTGCTTTCCACACTGTGGGCCTGTGCTGCAGCCTCCATTTCTTCTTAGCCCCTTTCTTCTTTAACCTTGGAATGTGACAGCCCACAGTATGCTGAAGTAACACTTCGAGAAGACACCAGTGGCTTTCTTATTAAGATTAAACAATAGTCTTTTCTCTGGCCTCTTTCTTCCGTGAGCCGCTCTTGAGACAGCTGTCCAGTTCCTCATTCCCACCATTTTCTTGTTTCTCTGATCCGCAGCGGCATGTGCCTGGTTTATTCCTTCCTCCCCTCCTGTGTGCTCTTCTTGCTGTTTGTTGCTTTTTCTTCTCCCAACCAGTTAACTCTGGCGGTCCTCCAAGACGTGGCCTGGGCCCTCTGCTTATCGTGCTTTAAACTTGCTCTTCACTGAGGAGCACATCCATTTTCACCCTCCTCTGATTACCGCTAAGTTTGTGTTGCTTCCGGGCTCTGGCTCTACCTTTTTTTTGTGTGTGTGTGCTACGCGGGCCTCTCACTATTGTGGCCTCTCCCTTTGCGGAGCAACAGGCTCCGGATGCGCAGGCTCAGCGGCCATGGCTCACGGGCCCAGCCGCTCTGCGGCATGTGGGATCTTCCCGGACAGGGGCACGAACCCGTGTCCCCTGCATCGGCAGGCGGACTCTCAACCACTGCGCCACCAGGGAAGCCCTGGTTCTACCTTTTGAATTGTGCCTTCCACACTTCTTCTTGGCTGTAATAGCTCTTCAAACTCAAGCATTCACAACCAGACCTGTTATTTTGTTATTTTCCCCTTCAGACCAAATATACCCTTCTACTTCTCATCTCTGGTGGTTGTCCTGTGTATTCTCTGACCCTGTAGGCTGGAATCCTCAGAGCATCCCTTAACTCATCTTTCTCCCATACCTTGCCATTCACCAGGTCTGGTTGATTTTTCTTTCCTAGTTGTCTTTGTGGTCTTAGAGGAAGGAAAGAAATTAGCATTTATTGTCTGCTTGGTGCTGCATTTTGGGCTAGGGAAATCATCTCATTGCATCCCCAGATCTTATGCGGTAGGTAGATCTTGTGTCCCTGGGTGCTCTGAGAGATCAAGGCACCTGCCCAGGACTGCCCAGGTGGGCAGCAGCAGAGACAGGAGTCTCGCCTGATGCCAGGGGTGCAGGCTCTCATCGCCTCACAAGACACCAGCTGCCCTTTTACTCTCGGCCTCTGCCCTTCCATTCGCCCTTCATGCTAATCTACTCTCAGCATTTCTCCTGTCACTCTTCTGCTCAAAAACCTTCAGTGGCTCCCGATTTCCCACCAGAGGCATAGCATTTTCATTTTGAATATGAAGACACTGAAGCCCAGAAGAAGGGAGAAAGTTGTCCCCAAGGATGTGGCTAGCAAGTAGTTGGCTGTGGTTTGAACTTCCAGAACTTCTGACTCTAAGTCTACCGTGCTGTGCTTCTCAGCTGTTGAAGATCTCCCGCCCAGTTCTCAAGGCCCCCCATCTCCCCACCTAACCTCATTTCCCACACTGACAGAACTCAGCTTCCAGGCCCTTTGACCAGTTTCCTTCACCCTAACTCTGAGGCCACTAACTCTGGCCTCTTAGCCACCTTTGCTTATGTCCCTAACTTGCCGGGATGTTTTCCTCCCTTCCTTGTACCCATCTTAGCCCCTCACTTGCCTCAGGCCTCACCTCCTCCCAGAAACCTGCTTCACTTAGTTTTCATGGATCTCACTCCCTAAATTCCACACCACATAATTAATTACACACTTAATCATAGATTATTAATGATAGATTTGTCTTGTACTGTTTGCTGCTGTTTCCTATGTCAGAACCTCTTCTCCTCTGGGGACCGTGTCTTCTAGGTTTGTTTTTCTGCTTCACCTTGTTGGGGGAAGGAGGTGACTTAGCTTCAAACAAGCACCTGGAAAGGAACCAAACCTTGCATTGGTTTTGTCCCTCACGGTGCTCTGTAAGTGCTTGTCCATCAGTTGGGACCTTCTCTGGTGATGAGAATCTCCAGCTGCCCTTTCACTCCTGGATGATGCCGCAGACTCATTGGGGACGAGCCTCCCCAACTCCACCGTGGGGAAGTGGTGACAGGCCGTGCAGCATGGCATCTGGAAGTGGGGGCTTTCACCTGCTGGTGGTGCCTGGTAACACCACAGAGTTTGCAGTAAAGAGGACGGAGTGAGAATTCCAGTGTTCCTCTGTGTGGAGGGCAGATGCCAAAGGGAAACAGAAGTTCATTCAGACCGGGAAGAAGGCCCAGTCTGGCGCCTGTCTACGTGGTTACTGCTGTCTTATTATTTGTGGCCCCCACCAGAGAGGCCATCTGCCTGACAGCCGTCCTCAGCCCTCTTTCTCTCCTTCAGGTGACCAGCCGTGAGTGGGGTAGGGGGAGAGTTAATAGGAGCTTTTACATTTTTATCTTTTTATAATTTATAAAAACGTTCTTTTATTATTGAAGTTTTCACACACGCCAAAGTTGAGAAAACAGGACGCTGGGCCTTCTTTTTCCCAACGCTCGGCTGTAACACTTACCAGTATTTTGTTGGTCTTGTCTCCTCCCCTCGTAGCTTTGGTTTTTTGTTTTGTTGTTGTCTGTGGCCACCTAGCGCAGCATGTGGGATCTTAGCTCCCCGACCAGGGATCAAACCAGTGCCGCCTGCAGTGGAAGCGTGGAGTCTTAACCACTGGACCGCCAGGGAAGTCCCTGTAGCTTTGTTTGTAAAAATACTGTACAGTTTGGTCTGGCCTTAGTGATTAGTGGCGTTATTTTTTTTTCCCTCAGCAATTTGTCCCTGTTGCTCAGAGCAGTGCAGGCAAATGGTTCTCAGGCCACTGTCCTGGCACATGGGGCTGCCTGGCTCTGCCCATTCATTTGTTGTTTGTCTGTCTTTCTTTGATCCTGTTTCTCCACTTGCATTCGTGACATTCTGGTCAAGAGCCGGTTCCAGTGGTCTTTAATCAGAGGACTTTGGAAGCCTGTGAGGGTCTCTTTTGGTCATCACGGTGACTGGGGGTGCTGCTACTGGCATTTAGGCTGGAGGCTGGCAGGGGTCCAGGTGTGGGGAGCACAGATGTTCAACAGCCATAGCTGTGAGGGACCGTTCTGCATTGTGAACACCTGTTCCATCCACACTCGGTCATGCTGCTGGGCACGCCTAATGTACGATGTGGATTGGGGATTGCCTTTCTCTTCATGCCTTTTATAAACGCTTAAAAGTTTGATATAATCCATTTGTTGATCACCGTTGATTCATGTAATCAGGTGACTGTAACTAGCCTCTGGTCCTTTCTGAGGGTTCATCCTTGGTTGCAAACCCTTTGGTTGTTTTACGTGGGAAAATGGGGTATCTTGCAGCCTGTGCCCCAGCTTTCTCGTTGCCTGTCCCACGCCTTATCACTGGCATCCTGCCAGGCCCAGTGGAGAATGGGGATGGAGACAGTGACATTCAGCCGCAGGTCATTCACAGCTTTTGGTGCCCTGGGGGCAGCTGAGAGGGAGGTTGTGGAAGATCATCCTTGAAGGGATTGTAAACTCCTGGGGGCAGGGCTTGGTGGCTATTCTCCTGCCTCTTCCGGCCATCAGCCTGCTGCTGCTGGGAAGGAAGCGCCCCTTAGCAGGCGGTAGCTGATTATCTCGGGTGCAGTCGGGGAGCCTCTGCAGGCAGAACATGGAAAGTGACAACTTCTGAGTTCTTTTTATTTTCAGTCTCACTCGAGATGGATGGCAGCCTTCCACTGTGGGAAATGAAATGTGTTCAGGCAACTTGGGCCCCAGGCGCAGATGAGAATGGGCTAATGGGCACGGAGGAAGGAGCGGGGCTGGAGGGGAGAGGCACACTGTTAGTCATTACTAATCCGTGACAGCTGCCAGCCAGCCGCTGGCGGTTAGCACCCTACTGCGCCTGGGACACAGGGCCTCTGGGCCTGTCCTTTCTGGAACACTCCAGGGCCCAAACTGTCTCAACTTGTGTGCTGTTCAAACCTCAAATCCGCATGGAAGATGCAATTGGTAACTTAATGCAGGATGAGGGAAGCCAGAGGCTGAGCTGAGTAGATGGTCTAGCCAACATGCTATGGGTATTGGTGAGGATTTCCCTGGCCTGGAACTCTGGATTATTCTAGCAAAGTGTTCTTGGTGTGTGAGATGATTTTCCGGGGCACCCCATTACAGTAAGATCAAATTAGCGAATGAGGAAGGTTTTTCTCTTTTTTTAACCCATACCCATTCCTTTTGACGTGGCTTAGGAGAAGGTCTGAGTACAGTTTTAGTATGCCTCTAACACCTACCTCTAACACCTGCCAGTGTCCCTTTTCCTTTACAGAGTCTCAGGCATGCTACAGTATCCAGGTAGAATTTGACAATATTTTGTTTTTATTATATTCCTTTTTCTGGTTACCTTCCATATATGGCAAGTGATACTGGTTTTCATGTGTGCTAATAATATGCAGTTTCCTTTTGAAATACATTTTCTGAAGGGAAAAAAGAGGCTGTTAATTTAAGAAAACAATTGATATAACAGGTGATGTGCTGAGATGGCACAGCATCTTGAAGATGCTTTTCAAATGACTAAAGATCGGGAAATGCTGTTTTAATATTTTGCCTACGTGGTTTTTCTTTATGTTGAAGGCCAGGCCGGCAGTGTCAGCATGGGATGCTGAGTGTGGGCCCTGCAGTGCCGAGGCCATCGCCATGATGGTCTGTGGTTTGTATGTCTCCCTCCACCCCCTTCTGTATTTATTTGTTCATTCAGCGGATACATTTTGAGTGCCTACTTTGTGCTGGATGCTGTGCTGTTTGCAGGCAAACAAGGGTGGTCCATGCTGTCTAATAGAAGAGACAAGATTGCAAAAACGTAGCTGGGATTCAGTGTGATGAGCGTACTCACGGAGGGAGGTGCTGCAGCCCTTGAACTGGTATTGTGAGCCACAGGGAGGTCGTGCTGAGTGGGTCAGGAGAGCTTCCCAGAGGAGGAGGTATTTGGGGTGGGTCCTAATGAGTAAGTAAAATGTAACCATTCATAGGTACTCAAGGCAGAGAAAGGGAATTCTAGGCAGAGGGGATGGCATGGATAAAAACATGAAGGCCTGAAGAAACATGGTGAGTTCAAGACCCTTGTGTATATTTGGTGTGGCTAGAGTGTAGACAGTGCGCCTTAACTCTTAACACCAACCCTATGGGGTGGGTAATTAGGATTAGCCCCACTTTACACTTGAGGACACTGAGGCACGGACAGGATAGTAACTTGGCGAAGCAGAAGCTGAGGTTAGAGGCAGGCCTCCCATTAGCTCAGAGAAGGTTTCCTGAGTTGTTCTGAAAAGCGTGCATTTGATCTTGAAGGCAGAGGGAGAAACTGAAGGTGATTAAACAGGGCGGGCCTGGGTGAAATGTGCCTTTTCTAGAGATTGCTCTGGCAGTGTGCCCTCCACAAGTGAAGCATCACTTGAGGTTTGTTTCATAAGTGAACACTTGAATGCTTTGCTGTCAAGTTTGTTTTGAATCAAGCACCTAGTTATTTCCTAGTATGTGTCCCGCCCTCCCCCCACCCCATTGTAGCTTTTGTTGATGTTGTTTCTCTTCACTTGGTTGATGTTTAAGTGATTGATTGAGTTCATAGTGTTTGAACCTCACCTTAATGTCTAATAATCAAGATCAAACTTTCTTCCTAACACAGCAATATTGCACGGTAAGGCTGGCTCACAGTTGAGAGGAAATGCCAGCTCCAAGAAGGCAAAGGGCTGTAATTACTTAAAGTGACCTCATTTAAGAATTTTGAGTGACCGTTTGATTGTCAGAGTTCTGCATACATTGTATTTTATTTCTGTCCAGGTTTCCACTGGCTGAACACTTTGGTTATGAGCTGAGTGTCAAGGCCAAATATTGCATTTTGAAACTGAGAGTCAAACTAGCAATTTAAACTCCTGACTTTCGTACCTGTCTGTGAAATTCAGATAAATGAAATGGAAATCTAACAGGGCTGCTGTGTTACGAAATACTGACTCTGCCTCTCCTTGTAGAGAAATCTCTAAGGGAAAATCATTTTAGCGTATATAAATATATTAAAAATATATATAACACACTTTTCCCCCCCTTTTTTTAGTCTTCCTTTCACTTTCTTGATTTGCCCCATTTGTGATTTCCCATTCAAATTAGGCTTGTTTGAAACCAAGGGTCCCTTGAAGAGGCACTTGTGGTAATTTTGAAAATGAAACCTACTCCTTGAAAATACTTCAGCCTAGCTTGTCCACCTTCCTGTCTGTTTCTGCAGCTGGTGTTTCTCACCACTTCCCCACATCCTCTCTTCCCCTGGGGCCAGCTCCACGGTGGCTGCCTAGTTTAGGCTCTTGCCCTGATCGCGTTCCCCACCTCCTTTACCTGCAGAGGTGTCCTTCCTGACCCCTCGCTTTGGGTGCCCGAGAGTTCTCCTCCTCCGTCTCTGGCTGCGGTAGAGGATAGGGGCCCCCTCCCCTCAGAGCATAGGAGAGCGGGTGTCTGTGCAGACGCAGGCTGGCTGCCCAGGGCACTGACATGGGTTTGAGGCATAGGAGGACTCCAAAGCCTTGCTAACAAAGCTTGCATGCCCATGATCTAGTGGCACCAGAACTACTTCTACTGTCCCCCAGGATCCAAATTTGAGAACTGACTTTCAGCTTGCTCTGAATCAATCAATGGTAAAAGGCAGATCATAAAATCCTCAAGAACATGGATCATATGTATTATTTGGATGCTGTCTACCAATGCTCACTGGCTTTCATTCTTAATAATTGTTATTTTAAAAGGTTTCTCTTCTTATAAATATTTATTTATTGTAGCAAATTTAGGCAAAAACCAGTTAAAAAAGAAAAAGAAAGAAAAGAAAAAGAATAATCCCACTGCTCTCAAAAAAATAATCCCCGTTACTTTTTTGGTGTACCTCCTTCTGCCATTTCTTATATACACAGGTGCATGCAGACATATGGGCTTATGTAAGACACTGTTTTGGAAGTCTGAGCTGCTTTTCAGTTAATACTTACTCTGATCATCATTCCAAGGCATTAAATATTCTCCTAGGATATCTTTTAAACGTCTGTAGAACATCTTTTGTATGAATGAACGAAAGTGTTTATTTAGGCAGTCCTTTCTGGTTGGACATATATGTTGTTTCCAGTGTTCCTGCCACTCTTGATATAGCATTAAGGTGAGCTTTCTTGTAGCTATTGCCCACGACTCTGGAACATTTCCTAGGAAAAATTCCCTAAAGTGGAAGTGCTGGGTCAAGCTTTTTTTTTTTGAAGCTTTTGGTGCATAATAATATTTACTTTTGTTTCTCTCTAGACACTACAACAACAGGAATGCAAACTTCTCTACAGCAGAAAAGAGGGTCAGAGGCAAGAGAATAAAAACAAAAATAGATATAAAAACATCCTGCCCTGTAAGTATCAATGTATTTCTCCATAATAGTCATTCTTGGAGGTTTTGATTCCCAGTGTCTCAGTAACTTTTCTGGGGGCCATGTGCTTTCTCAGCAGATCCAAGGCCTTAGCTTCTTTTAATTGTAAGTAGTTTCCAAAATAATCAGCTGTTTTGGGGATGGATGGCCTCATTCACTGAGTTCCTGTGATGTTGATTACGGAGTAAAATTGCCACTGGGAGGCTTAGTGTGTGGTTGTTTCCTTCTATTAATTAATTTTGTCTGCGTAGGAGAGATCATCTCAAGGCTTGCCATCTCCCAGGGTCTCACCATCAGGCTCAAGGGTCCCAGGCTTGTGTCCTTGCTTTGCAGCGTCCAGCCCTGGGTCTTGGGGACAGCACGCCTCCTCTGGGGCTCTGTTCCCTCATCTGGGGAACAGACGAGCTCCTCCTGGGGGTTCTTCCAACTGTTCCCTTCATCTTTTCCGACATCCCTCATCCCTTGAGCTCGAATTACTGGAGATTCAGGTGCATACCTATGCTTTGCTCGGAAGCAGACCTTGTGATATTCATAAAGCAGTACCTCCTTTAACACCCAGGTGCTGCCAGGTAGAGCCTGAGTTGAACTGTAGTGAAAAAGAGGCCCAGAAGGATGTAGGCCTTGGGTGAGGATCCCAGAAATGGCACCACACAGTTGTGATAGCTCACCTCCCCTGAGTGCTGTCTCTGTGCCAGACTCTGAGTCCATATCTCACTTAATCCGTATCCCATGCACACAAAGCAGGAGTTCTTATTATCCCCATTTTAGGGACCATTTTAGCAAGGTCACAAGTGGGAGTGAGTGCGAGAACTGGTACTGGAGCCCCCAAAGTCACTGCTCTTAGCCCTGAGCTCTAATGCAGGGTCTCCAGAGTGGGCTGGGTAAGGCAGTCTGCCATGGGACAGGGAAGGAACATTTAGAACGTCTCTTGATTTACATCTTTTATCTAAAAAAAAAAAAAAAGAAAGAAAGTAAATTTTAAATCTGATGTGCAGCTTGATGGCAGAGCGTGCATAATGTTTTTACCCAATTTAAAAATAAGGCTTGTGTGGGGCTTCCCTGGTGGCACAATGGTTGAGAGTCCGCCTGACGATGCAGGGGACACGGGTTTGTGCCCTGGTCCGGGAAGACCCCACATGCCGCGGAGTGGCTGGGCCCGTGAGCCATGGCTGCTGAGCCTGCGCGTCCGGAGCCTGTGCTCCGCAACGGGAGAGGCCACAACAGTGAGAAGCCTGCGTACCGCCAAAAAAAAAAAAAAAAAAAAAAAAAAAGGCTTGTGTGTATCTATAATTGTATATATATTTCAGTGTTCAAAAACTTTATTATTGAAGTTTATTGACAGCATGATCAGATTGGAGAGCACTGCTGTAATGTCTCCTCAGGCCAGAGCTATTTTGTCAGATACTGTAAACCCATCCAGGGTGTGTGTGTGTGTGTGTGTGTGTGTGTGTGCGTGTGTGTGTGCGTGTGTGTGTGTGTGTGTGTGTGTGTGTGTCATAGTCTTTCTGTATACATAGGTGCGCACACACAGTGTATATGTATATCACATCCATATAGATATTTTTAATGTGTGCAGGTGAGGATGGGAGAAAGTGGAGGCATTTCTAATACTGAGGAGAGACAATGAGGAATTTGTAGAGAATCATTTTGAGCCACAGCATGGTCCTAATGACGTTGGGGAAGCATTGCCCTCTTTATGTCTTAAGTTTTCATTTCTGCTCAAGAGGTCTAAATGGTACTCATTACTAAGATGTGGGGATGTAGGGAAAGATGAAGGGAACAGTGGTATGCAGTATCTATTGATAAATAGAATATTATTGCCCTTTCCTCCCTTAAAGATCCCAATCAGATGTTTCTTCTGATTAACATCATATTCTTTAAAGATGGGGAGTCTGAAGCAAAAGAACATTATTCTAGTAAGACATACAACTTTATTACTATTTCTCAGTGTAAAATGCGTTGCTTCGGTAGAACACTCAGATTTTTTTAAACATCAGTAATGTACTTTTGTATAAAATTTGGTCAGTAGGTACTATCATCAGAATCCTGTTGTCTAGATACTGTATTTAATTCTACTTCATTAAAAAAAACACCCTTTTTATTATGGAGAGTTTAAAATATATTCAAAAGTAGACAGAATAGTATAAAGAACCCACACGTACCCATCACCCAGCTCCAACAATTGTCAACTCCTGCCCAATCTTGATTCATCTATATTCTGATACACTTCTCTTCTCTCCCTGAATTGTTTTGAAGCAAATCTCAGACATCATGTCATTTACCTGTAGTTTACTCTTCCTCTAAAAAAACCCCCAAAAACAAAAATAACTTTTGTTTTGAAATAATTTTAGACTCACAAGAAGTTACAAAAATATATAGAGGGCTCCCATGTACCCTTTATCCAGCTTCTCCCAATGATAATATTCTATATATCCATAGTACATTATCAAAACCAGGGAATTGACATTGCTACTTTATTCTCTTAAAGAAAGCATTATGAGGCATCATATTCAGATTATAGTTTAGGATTTAGTTTTTAATGTTGTTTTATCATGAAATGAGCAAAACTTGGACTCGTTGAGGATGAACTGATTTGTCCTGAAGAGGTCTCAGTACCTTTGTGACCATGTTCTCTTTTTCTTCCAGTTGATCACACCAGGGTTGTCCTACACGATGGTGATCCCAATGAGCCTGTTTCAGATTACATCAATGCAAACATTATCATGGTAAACTTTGTTTCTCGTGGTGTTTTCTGGCTGTATATTGCTAGCCAGTTTTTGTATTTTAAATCCTTCCTTATGGCCTGAGAGCAGTTTTCAAATGTTTGAAGTATTTTCTTCCTAAATTTCTAGCCTGAATTTGAAACCAAGTGCAACAACTCAAAGCCCAAAAAGAGTTACATTGCCACACAAGGCTGCCTGCAAAACACCGTGAATGACTTTTGGCGGATGGTATTTCAAGAGAACTCCCGAGTGATTGTCATGACAACAAAAGAAGTGGAGAGAGGAAAGGTATGCTATATACTCTACTTTTTTGAAGTATTGGACATGTCAGGTTGAACATGTTAAGAACTGAATAGGGACTTCCCTGGTGGCGCAGTGGTTAAGAATCCGCCTGCCAATGCAGGGGACACGGGTTCGAGCCCTGATCCAGGAAGATCCCACGTGCCGCAGAGCAGCTAAGCCTGTGCGCCACAACTACTGAGCCTGCGTTGTGGAGCCCATGTGCTGCAACTACTGAAGCCTGCGCGCCTAGAGCCCGTGCTCCACAACAAGAGAAGCAATCACAATGAGAAGCCTGCGCACCGCAACGAAGAGTAGTCCCTGCTCACCGCAACTAGAGAAAGCCCGTGGGTAGCAACAAAGACCCGACACAACCAAAAATAAAATATAAATAAATTTATTTAAAAAAAAAAAGCTGAGTAAACACAGTAAGCTTACTCTGACCCTCTGGAAAAAAGGGAGTAGGAGAAATTTGATATGACGTACTTTGGTGTAGTTTTCTTTTTTTCTTCTTCTTAGGGTTCATGGAGCTTCTTGGGTCTGTGGGTTTATAGTTTTCTTCAAATTTGAATAACGTTTACTATTTCTTCACACATGAACTGCCAACCCACCCTGTCCTGGGTTACCAATTACACATATATTAGGCTGTTTGAAGTTGTCCTATAGCTCACTGAGACTTTCTTCATTTATTTTCAGTTCACTTTTTTCCCTCTGTTTGGGATAAGTTAGATAAGTTTCTTTTGCTATACGTGTTTCAGTTCATCTTTTCTTCTGCAGTAGAGTCTGCTGTTCATCCTATCCAGTGTAATTTTCACAGTAGACATTGTCCTTTTCATTTAAGTTTTATTTGAGTCTTTTTAATATATCCTATGTCTCTCTTCTTAACATGTCCATCATTTGCTGTACCTTTTGAACATATGGAATATATTTATAATAATTTTTTAAATGTCCTTGTTACTAATCCTATTATATATATCATTTCATTTTTCCATTTTAGTGGTTTAAGGTAGGAGAGTAAATCCAGTTTCTGTTACCCCATTGTGTCCAGAAGCAGAGGTCATAAAGGGAGTGTAAGAAGGCCTGTCTGGTACCTTCAGGGGATTAGAGGACTAATCAATAAACATTGATTTCACTTGTCATGTGAACTATACTTAGGACTTCTAAGCATTTAAAAAATTAATTTGAACTATCCAGACAATATATTCAGATAAACATTCAAACTCCTTACAATTAAAATTACCTTTGTCACCATCCCTTGTCCACCCAATTGTTCCCTCCTCCAACATAAACCCTCTTATCAGTTTGATGCGTATTCTTCTACACTGTCTTCTTGGCATTTGCATATGCATGTGTATAATAGGCATTATATACCTACATTTGCACATGTATATGTATTCACATACATACATGCTCCTATAGAAGTATATAGTGCTATTTTCGGACAAGTACTGTATGAAAAAGTGCTGTCATACAGTAACTTTATTGTGTATCTTGGTTTCTTTTCTCCCCACCTAATATATGTTCTAACTTCTTCTGTTAGTACATATTGGCCTATCTCATTCTTTTTAGTAATTGCATGGTATTCCATGGTATGGATGTACTACCATTTGTTTAACTGTCATATATTAGGCATTTAAATGTTTCAGTTATTTCTCTTATAAACAGTGCTGAAGTGAACAATCTTGTTCTTGCTTTTGTATGTGGTAAGTGTTTTTCTAGGTCAGATGTCAAGAAGAATTGCTAGGTCATAGGGGGTGTGCATGTTGTAAATTTTTTAAAAATTTTTTTAATTTTTCTTTTTTTCTCTTGTTTTTTTTTCCATTTTTGAATTTTTTTTATTTTTTCTTGTTTATTTATTGTTTTTGCTTTTGCATGTT